CTAAGGTTTTGGAAGATTTGCTGTCAGAAGCCACATTTGTGTTCATAAGCAGAAGAGGAGATATTTTGTTTTGATTTGAAAAATTGTTGCGTAGTCTTGTTTTGAAAAAATGTCTTTTATATTCTTGGTATGTTTCGTCATTGGCTGAAAACAAAACAAAAACATTGCAGACTATTGATATAGAACATTATTTTAATGTATATGTAATTCATTGCATAATTCACTGTGAATAAATATCCATCCATCCATCCTCTAAACCGCTTATCCTTCTGGGTCGCGGGAGGGTGCTGGAGCCTATCCCAGCTGTCATTGGGCGGAAGGCAGGATACACCCTGGACAGGTCGCCAGTCCATCGCAGGGCAGACAGACAGACATACACAATCACACCTAGGGGCAATTTAGCACGTCCAATTGGCCTGACTGCATGTTTTTGTGGGAGGAAACCGGAGTACCCGGAGGAAACCCACACAGACACAGGGAGAACAGGCAAACTCCACACAGAAATGACCCTGGTCGCCCGGCCGGGAATCGAGCCCAGGCCCTTCTTGCTGTGAGGCGACAGCGCTACCCACTGCGCCACCGTGCCGCCCTGTGAATAAGTATGTACTTGTATAATTATATTAGCTTAAAAATGTTAAAACAAAGTGGTTCTTTAAAGCTGAATGGAACCTAAATTCACATTTTCTTTCTAAATTGGCGAATCTTCCACTTGTGGCCAAATAATATACATGTACGAAGTATGTCCAAAAACTTTCGAAGTAAACTGGGCCGTCCTAATTTTGGGTGGCACCTGTTTTAAAGCAGAGCCCTCAGCTGTCACAATGCTGATATGGTTTGTCCAGTCTGCACAGCTTTAACAAAATTGTGTGCACTCTGACAAATCTAACAATGTGCCATAGCTGACCTAGCAAACAAATAAAGCTAGCACATCTGTCCGGCTGTTGTCCATCTACTCCTTTAAATGTTTGTTTGTCCATCTATCCATCTGTTCGTTCATTTGTTCATCTGTCTATTTGTTCATTTCTTCATTCAGTTTGGATGCACATCCAGCAGTAAAGTGAACAGCAAAGTGTATTTCCTGAAGAAAATGTGGATTGATTTCACAGCTTAAGCAATTTCCTGGTGTTGCTAGGTTGTTAACTTGTGGTTGCTGGAGTGTTGCAAAGTGGTTGCTGGAGTGTTGCAAAGTGGTTGCTATGGTATCTCTAGAGGTTGCTAGGGTGTTGCTAAGTGGATGCTATGGTATGATATCTGTGGTGGGTGCTATGAGATCATTAGTGGTTACTAAGGTCTTGCAAAGTGGTTGCTGTGGTGTTCCAAATCATTGTTATAGTACTATAGTACCCCATGTGGTTGCTATGGTATCTCTGGTAGTTGCCATAGTGTTGCTAAATGGTTGCTATGTTATGTCTGGTGGTTGCTAGGGTGTTGCTAGGTGGTTGCCATGGTATGATATCTGTGGTGGGTGCTATGGGATCATTAGTGTTACTAAGGTGTTGCAAAGTGGTTGCTATGGTGTTCCAAATAGTTGTCATAGTACTATAGTATCCCATGTGGTTGCTAGGGTATTTCTGGATCCAACAGTACACTGAATAAGAATGTTACCTTCACAGCAGAGTTGTACACCACCTTATTTTGAGCCCATTTCATTTATTTCTCTCCAGCTGTTGGGTTTATTACCACATCAGCAGTGTGGCAGGCCATTAATATAACACTGAATTTTATTATTATACAAACATTCTTAATATTTTAGAACTGTGTTCGCTGAAACTTTAAAGGTGCTTTAATAAAAGCGATGGAACATTTGAATACATAATTTGAGCTTTGCATTTTTTCAAAGGCTGTTCTCTGTGATTAAAAATCTTTTATGGTTTCAAAAAAGAGTTTGAGTATTGTTACAAGTCACAGAACCTGTTTGGTCCTATGTAGAAGCCTTTTGTTAAGAGTGTAGTGTGTATTTAAATATAATTCACAACTTCCAAGGGTTAAAGGGTATGAAACTTCCTATTAAGTCCTGGGTTTACAGCTGTCTCTCTATTGGCCAGTAGAACCTAGTTTTTAGGTCAACAGAGGTCAAATGTTGTATTTCTTGGGCTAGCACTTTTCCAACACAATACAAACCCTGAACCTTGAGCGAAGTAGCTCTAATCTAATCTCTAATCATCACTGGTGGCTGTTTATTTCAGGAGTAAACTGTTTACCTCATCAGATTACAACTGTCTGCCATGGAGTATCATTCAGGGTGTTATGTTACATAATCCATAAAGATGAGTTTCAGCTCCACAAACATCTTTAAGTCTTACATCAGAGTACCAAACGGTTCACGTATTCAGTTTCCCACTGACTCACTGTTCTCCTCTGCAAACACACCTCATGTTCTCCAACTTCAGCAAACTTTTTCGAAAAACTTTCCATTTCCTGAGTTCACTGGACGTCTCCTACATCAAACTAAACATCCTGCCACTTTTAGTAGTTTTGATACTTTTGAAGGCTGTTCTGTTAATCCAGCCGTCGTAGGTTTTGAAAGTACGCGTCTGGGGCTTGTTTTTGGAGGGGATGGCGGCCGTCCAGGCCATCTTTTCCTCAGGGATACCAGCAGTGCTAACAGCAGTTCCATGCCCAACCCAGGTTGGGCTCTGAGGCACCTGCGTAGCCATGCCTGTCTGGAAAAAAGTGCAGGCTCCAGGCATTCCAGCAAGTCCCTTTTGCTTTCTTCCTGCAGCTCCAGAACTTTGGCTCTAATATGCCTCACTGCTGAAGGACAAGGCCTAAACAGCTTTACTGCACATCATCTCTCTGCTTCTCAGCACACAAACACCAGGGCTGGAAAATTACAGCCCTATCAGCTGAATTTAATTCAGTGGAAGGTGAAATAGGGCCAGTAGATTTAAAGGAATACTATTGTATTATTCTCTCTAATCTCTATCTGTTGCATCTGTATTGTATGGTCGATTACCACAGACAGCAATTTCAGTGTGTTTCCATGTACTGGAATGAAAAACACATTGACTCAGAAAACATTTGAAAGAGAAGCGATTGGGCAGGTGCAGAAGCAAAGGTTTAAAAATGCTAGAGTATTCCATTCATGGATGTTGTTATTCATCACTATTCAGATTATGATTACTGAACTGGGCTTTGGGCATGTCAAATTCATTCATAAAGCATATTTAAAAATCAACAAATGAGCTGCCAGAACAGCTTCATTGCGCCTTGGCATACAATGTACAAGTCTCTTCCAAAAGAAGTTCCCTCGACTGATGGTGGTGAAGAGCGCTGTTTTAGGCCTGTCTCACGCATATTACCCCAGTGTGCAACATGGCAGCGTGACTTCTACAGCTTGCATAGCTAAATGGATAAATAGTCAATTTAGTCACTTTGCTCAATAGAAATATAATTCGCAAAAGAGCATGGTTTGTTTGTTTTCCCTTGGCAGCTATTTGATTTGTGATTATGTAATTGTTTCAAGCCTGGTAGACATACTGACAAATAACTAGCTTTTTGTTTGATAATGGCCACGAATTGTGGAATTTGTATTTTTAAAGTTTGGTTTCATTTTCAATGATTTTCATAGCATAATTTACAGTATCTGTGAAACAGGCCTAAGACATCATGTTACAAAAAGGTACAAATATACACTTTTCACCTGAGAAAAACCTATTTAAGGTTCACAATTGGACCTTAAAACCACTGTTGTACCTTTGAGGGAACATTTACATTGTTTATACTTTAATGAACAAAAAATGTACCTGCACAGAACGGTGTAGGATAAAGATGATCAGTCAGAATAACTTTGTACTTATTTTCAGTGACCTTCTCTCTAAGGTGAACCCAAGTGAACCCAAACCGTACCAACAAAATGCCCCCCGCAGCATAGCAGGTGTACACCACACTTTCCCACTTTTGGAGAACATGGTGAAGAATGACTCATCTGACCATATCACGTCTTTACACATCTCTGTAAACCAGCACTACTGAACTCTCAAAGACGTGATGTCTTTACACATCTCTGTAAACCAGCACCACTGAACTCTCAAATGTGCCTTTGTCTTTGTAATGAGAGGTTTAAGCACTGCAACTACTATAATATATAGTTGTGGATGGACTGTTCTTTCTGACACAGTCTAATGAAGCTCTGCATCGACATCAACTTATTTATTCAAGTTTTATTTTTTTTGTCACCTGTCTGTAGGTGACTGGTAAAGGCTGAATCAGTGCCAAGTAATACCACGATTAAACTCTAAAACAGGGCACTACACATGATGCAACACACATAACAAATTTTATCATATATATTAACAAACAATCCATATCTTTCCTTTATGTAATATGCAAACAGTCTGGAAACAAGTCTCAGTCGAATTTATTTATCTCAACAAAACTAATAAACTCGCTTTAAGGTTCAATTTGCCCTGGTGGCAGCACTATATTTCTTTATCTAATGAGACTATCATGAGCTGTTTAACTCAAACAAGCCCCACAAGGCCCCCCTTTGGCATCTGCTAAGCGTCCCCTGGCCCAACTCACTCGGAGCAGCAGAATCCAGAGGTTGACACTGTTCTAACTTACAATGTGTTTGTATAACAAGACTTATGCTGTGCCATTTCTGTTTGCCATGGAATCTTTCATCCAACAGCTAGTGCATGCTATTCCCATGCATGTTTACCCTCTCCTGAAAAAAAGAAACTGTAAGTGATATATTATCCCGAGGAACTGATCAAACTCTGAAAAACACATTCCCCTCTCTGATTTCATGTAATTGTATTTGCATCAGTTATGTGCCAACTATGACCTCATGTTTGCAAACGAGCCCAAGTCAAATGGTTTGTGTCACGAAGGGTATAACTGGCAAAGGGGGATTACCACATTTCATCCTGGACTTTGTGATTTACGAGCTCAGTGATAGAGTGTGCATGTTGCTCCCCTAGATGGGTTTATTTTTCATACAATTGACCATAATTTGTGAACACATAATTCAGCTCTTCTCTATTTCTCTCTTGCAGAGAGCTATGGTGGCTACGAGAATCAGCTCTTCAAAGGTACAATCCACATTTCTCTTACGTTTTTCTTTTAGAAATGCTGAAATATATCCACATACATTGCCCTGTTTTAAAAGATTAAAGCCAATGTTATGGTCCCCTGATAATCCAGTGCTTTCAGTCTTTTGGAGAAATTAAATGGGTAAGCATTTACAGCATCACAATGGCTATTGATCTGCTCTGCACACATGCATATGTAGCAACTGTTGATTGGTTAGGCAAGCTTTGCAGAACATTGACAAAAATCATATTCAGTCTAATGAGAAACTACAGCACTCTTATGTTTTGTCATAATACCTACATTTGGAGTGCATTATGAATTACCACCCGGCAATACCATAGCAACCAAAAAGCAACACTCTAGCAACTACCTGTAATAACAGCTGAATCACTTAGCACTACCCTTGCAACAGTCTAAGATACCATAGCATGCGCCTTGCAACAACCTCACAACCACTACAAATTCCATAGAACCCAACAAGCAACACACTTGCTACACAACTGCTTAGAAATCCCCTGTCAACCACCTGCAATACCATAGTAACAACATAACAACAACCCAGAATATCTCAGAAGCCAACAAGCAACACCCTTTTAACCTTCTGAAATACCTGAGCAACCACCCAGCAATCCCCTGGCAATCACAAGGAACACCAATGAAACCATCTAAACCCCCTTACAGCACCAGCCCCTTTCAATCTAGCCATAACAACCATGGACACAATGGTTATTGATCTATGAAATGCACTAATAAGTGTGGACACATGTGTGGATGGAGCATGGACAGGTCCCATTATTTGCAACATCAATAACAGCAAATAATCACAGTAACATCAGTGTTGATTTCACTCTTAGACTGTTCATTTATGTCCAGCTGGATTTATACGAACACTTCAGCTGTTAATCTGACATCAGGGACTTTGCAGTATAAGGTCATTTAATTGCGCTGTTGTCCATCTATGAAATTTATAGTCATGATTAATTCGTCTTCATGTGCGATCTCTGTTTGCAGAGGAGGACCTGACCGGCGAGGAGGAAGAGATGCCTCCCTTTAGAGGTTAGAGAAGCTCACTACTCGATGAGATCACCACTGTTTCTGAATCCAAACTATTAGAAATGATTCACTTTGTAAACTCTCCCACAGATAACAGTATGAGAGTGATATAACTGCAGGAACACTGTGTGAACGTAGAAACCAAAACAAACCTTTTACTTACCAAGTTAAACTAAAATTGTAATTAAAATGTGAGAATCAAGAAGAAGATGTGGCATCAATGACGAAGGATGAAGGGATAAATCTGATGATAAACCGAAAACAGGGTTTGGTTTGGTTTTGGTTTCCTCAGACAGCCTCCCTTAGGTCATTTGTGTTTGTTCCTGAGGGAATGCACTGTGTGCATGAGTCAACATATATTTGCAGTTACAGAGTTGTTTATGTGCACTCATCCTACATCTGTTTTGAATATTGCTGTACTGCGCTAAGTAATTCTCAAAAGCTGCACTCGATACATCTTGAAAAGTTTGTACAGTACTGTGCAAAAGTCAGAGACCACATTTCATTTATATAATTTCCAGGTAAATCAGCCACAAAGTGCAAGATATTTATTTTTTTACATCACATAACATAGCTTTTATTACAGTTTCCATTCTTAGGAGACTTGCTTTCAGTTTTTTAAAGAAATCTGCAGGGGTATTTTTTCACACCTCTAAAGTTCAGTCTCACAAGTTGGTTGCACTTCTACTTCTCACGATCCAAATAATCCCGAATACATTCAGTGATGTTGAGGTCTAAACTCTGGGGTGGTCAATCCATTGTTTTGAGAACTCCAGCAGCTTCTGTTTGATTTTCAAATGGTCTTCATTGACAATTACACATGGGGGAGGGGTCCAGGACCCTCTAAATAATCTCTTGGACCCCCTGAATGTCTCAAAATCAAAATCCTGGGAAGTCCCTGAAAATAAACTTATTTTGATGTAATGCTGTCTGTTAGAGCAAAACAGACACTCAAATACAAATTCAGGGAAAGCTCATTGTTTGTTGTTGTCTTTAATATTCTTACCTAACTAGAGCTGCAGCACTGACCTGCCTCAGGATGGCATTGTAGCAAATTCATTCACTCAGTAGGTTTATCGTAGCCTAGCAACTGTAACTAACTACCCTGGATACCTCTGAAAAACTTTACAATATGCCACAGCATACTTGTAAATCTGAAGACTTGCCCAGTTTCCCCAGAGTTTGGTGAAAAGAGCAAATTGTTACTCCTTTCCCAAACTGGAGGCTAAAGAGGAGATGCCATTGAAGCTTTTGTTGCCATTGAAACTAGCTTTAGCAAATGAGTTAGCAGCCAGCCAACACTGGAGTAGCCAGCCAACATGGGACCCCCTGAATATCAGGGAGTTTTTCGTACATTGTCTATAACCTAAGAATAGCCCAACTAGTTTGCATTGAAATCCCTGTAGTTATTAAATAATAAGCCTTAGTAATAAGCCTGGGATTTTAAACGGGGTTAACACACTTGATCCAACTAACCAAGTCACTAACAAGCCCTTCCTGAGCTCAAATGGATGTGTTAGAGTCAGGAAAACATTGGAATGTGCAAGACCAGGATTGTGAACCACTGGCATAGGGCACCATATACTGAGAGTGAGCTTTGTGTCCACAGGAAGGACACGAGGAGGCTGTGTGAAGTGCCAGCAGACTCATTCTCTCCAGCTGGCTGTCAGGGTTCTCTATGGCTTTTTTGCCTTCATCATCATCGCTGTGGCTGTCTTGGCTTCCCTGGGTGAGCTTTCCAAATATAAATAATGGAGTTTACAAAGGAGAAAACATGTTTCTAAACAGCAAAAATTACTCATATGATGAGGAGGACAACAAGCTAAAAGCTAAAGTTAGCAAGGCCACTGGCTATTTAGATTACTTTCTTCAGTTTGGCTGTGAGTTTGCTCTTCCACATAGACTAATCCAAAACTTTTTCAGCTTCAAGGATGGAATAAAAAACAGCTTCCTGCTCCCGATGTTCAAGATAGCATTATACATTCTTTAGTAATACCTTTCAAACATTTCTTTCCTAATCCAAACTAATTTACTGCCAAAGCCGTTCACTGCAGGTTTGTTTTGAAGAGTTTTCCTCTTTGCCAGATGGAGGAAGGACTATTTAGAAACAAGAATTTTGTAAATGGTTAATTGTTGAGTTGAATCGGGTCTGTTTGAGCAGACTGTGCTGGAATAAGGGCCTTTAAAACAGGAGCTGGAGTGAAAGAAAATTGGCCATTCTCCATTTGAACGTTAATCATACCTTATGGAGTCTTTGTGCAATCAGCTAACACCATCTACAATGACTTCTGGGAAACAGTACACTTATAAAGTTAATGCTTTCCTGATAAGACCCCAAAGCAGGCCAGCTATTGAAAAGATCAGCACAGCTACAGCTTAAACTTTCACATCACTTGGCAATCCACCCAGCTCAACTTTAAAGAGACACAATGGCCAAAGTGAAAACTATAACCATTGCTACCGTCTGTGTAACATGCTAACTCACATCTTACAGCAGTGCCGCAGTAGTCTCTAGAGTTAGATTTTCTGGTTTAAAGACTAGGAAGCCCCCCTTATTAGAATGTAGGAGGAACCTCTGAAAAAATACAACTGCTTTGGGGTGGATTTTAGGGCTGTTTTTATTTTTATATGTTTAGTTAGTTAGTTAGCTGATGAAGACAGAAAGCAGATTACTAACATTACAGTTCGGAAGCCAAATATCTTATTGCACTTGTATAACTGCAGTAACTATCTTCAAATCATCATTGCACTGAGAGAACAGATCACTTGGACAACAGACATAAATTGTCTGATGAGCAAGACGACAAGCTAAAAGCTAAAATTAGCAAGGTACCCGGCCAGCTAGATACTTTTCCTTAGTTTGGCTCCTTTTGTCTGGCTTAAAAGGGTCTCTGGTGTCCATTTCATGCTGAATACCGATAGAATCACTGTTTTCTTTATGAATTTAGCAACGTTTGGTATTGCAGTGAGAAAACACTGATGAACAAATAAGCCGATGAGGGTGAGGGATACAATGCTGACATACAGAATACTGAACACTGCATAACATGACAAATAACATATTAAACTCTAGTTTTAGACTGGAATGCCTGTCTAACCCACTCAATTTCAGGTTTCTTAAGCTGAGAGGCAGGAGTGTCACATAATTGCAAGTGAGCATGAGAGGGGCTCTGTCTTTCCTATCAGCCACTGTAGTGTCTACAGATGTTTCTCTACAGATGCTACATGGATTTACACATAATCACTGGATTATTGCACAATAAATCCATGCTTAGAGATTTACAGGTAAGAGCACAGGGGCTCCAGCCAAAGTCAAAACAAACTCCCAGCTTGCTTGGTGGACTGCACTCTGGCACAGGTTTTTACTGGACCCATATTATATCAACTTACAGCACAGCTACACGAAGGTCTAGCAAACCAAAAAGAAGAAAAAGCACTGCAAAAGCTTGTGAAATTCCAGAGATATGATTCGCTGTCATTGCTAAATGAAAAAGAAGGTCATGTGACACCACATCATGCCACTCACATCTGCTTTATATTTCCCCAGTTCCCCAAATGGTTGTAAAACAAGATCCTTTCAGACTGCATTCAAATAAAGCACAATATTTCACAAAAACTATCAAAGAGCAAGAATCTTGATCAACAAACCTTGCATTGTGGCAACTACATTAAGTTCTCATAGGCAGTAAAAAAACATTTGCTGTAGTCTCATTATGAATCACAGTTGTAGGAAATTTACTTTCAACACCTTATGGAAATAAAACAGGTTACTTCTATAAATGTAGTTGGATTGCAAATGAACTTTAGCAGAGGTTTATATTGGACTTTATTAATCCCAATAGCCCATGGTTTGCTTTGGGCCTTTTAAGCAAAGCTGTGAAATGAATGCCAGGACACCATTGTTCTCTTAGGAAACTCTGAAGTCTCTTGAGATCCCACAGCTGTATTTAACATTCTACTTCAAATATTTTTGTTATGAGAGCAAATTATCTTGCTGGTGGTGTAACCCAATACAATTTGTCTTTGTTTTTTCATCACTTAGTGTCAAAGCTTAGCCTGCAACTTTTTAACATTTTTGCTGTATCCACTGAAAAAAAGATTGATCAGATTTATATTTTGTTCCCAGTTTTTAGGAAGGTTGACAACTTATCTGAAGATGAATTGCTGTATCATAAAAAGATTGCCAAAGTCCAGGAGAGCATACAAGGTAAGATTTTTGTATTGTAACATGAAAACAGTGAAACAGATAACATCACAGAGAACATCAGGCTGCAAGACAAAATCTCCTTGCTGAAGCACTGCACCTGTTTCAAATAGTTATGCTGAGCAAAAATAATTATTTTTCTAATCCCTTAACTTTCCTCCCATGGTGGGTGATCTCTTCAGAGAGTTACAGCTCGGAAAAATTGTCTGTTACCTTAAGAATCGTCTGAGAAGCAGCAACATTTTGGCTAGCCAGGTTTCCATCCAGCTGTCGAATTACATTCAAACAAATAACTGAAACATCCTAATAAAACTATGTGAGGCTGCAAACAAAACAAACTGGAAAATATAATTCCTCAAGATCTGTGATGGACACCTTATGTCTGTTTAGCATCTAATACTGCTGTTGTGTTTTTTTTTGGGATAAGATATGGGTATGATAAGGTATGTTTTCATTTCTGAATTAGGAAACTGGGACCTGCCCATTGTCATGTTTCATAGCTATTACCGGACACAGAAACATAAACACTTAATCAGTAATATGACTTTTTGTTTGCATTCACAGTATTTATTGCAGTCTTTTTATTCAATATGTCAAAGTAGGGGAGACCAGGAGGGTTGTAATGTGGGGTCTTTATTTCCTTTGAAGTTAAGAAAAAAAATATCCTTTACAAATGTACTTCAGTGAAGTCTTTTATGCTCCACCTACTGTTCCTTTTGTAGCACAAAAAGTGCTACAGCCCAACCTCAGTCTCCCATATGCATAAAAATAGATGGATGGAAGTCTAGCTACTGTCTGAATACTCAATTGTATTTTTATAGAACTTCTTACTGGCAGTAAAATTTAAAATGTTTCCAGTTTGTTTGGCATATCTTCTCAGAACCTTGTACATTTTTGTGCAGATCTCAGCGCTGTGAACAACTGCACAGAGTGCTACAATGTCGCTCACTTCCGTGAAGAAATCGCCAGGCTCAAGAAGGAATTTGAGGACATCCAAAAGATGGTTCAGGGTCAACAGCAGCTACTGGACCAGAGCTCTCAATCTCAGAAGACTCTGACACAGTCCAATAACAGGATGATGAGAGACTTTCAGACCTATGGGACCACCATGAAACAAATAAACCAGTCTCTCGAGCAGTACCTTGATCAGGTAAGCGGCTGGCAGGCTGTCATCAACGAGACTGATCTGGGCATGAAGACTCTGGTCCAAGATCAATATGATTTGAAAGCTACAATGCAGCAAGTCAACACTACTGTGGCACTAAGTGCTATGTGGATAGATGCTCTTCAGAGGAAGGCAGAAGAAGAGACTTTAGTGCTGCAGAAAATGACAGTTGACTGGCAGAACTACAGCCGAGCACTAAGCACGCTCAAGTCCAGCTCCAGTGCCACTACGCAAACAATGCGGACCATCCAGAACGGCATCTCAGCCACTTATCAGCGACTCAGCATGAGCTCAGATATGGTGCATGACCTCACCCTGCAAGTTATTAACTTGCAGATGCAGCTAGACAACGTGTCCGCCTTTATTGATGAGCATGAGGAGAACATGCATGATCACCAGTACCATGCCAAGTACTATGAAAACAGGACTGGGGAAAGGTTTGTGACACTGGACGCAAGGATGAACTCCATTGAAATGGAGATTGACACCATTGCCTCCAGCATTAATGCAACAGTTGCCCACGTTCAGAGCATGTACAAATACATCAACATGGAGAGCTCCTCTTGCCAGTCCAAGCTGGGCAGCCACACAGAGGACTTGCAGAATTTGAACAAAACTGTTTTACTTCTGCTAAACCTTGCTGATTCTCTGAGAACACAGTACATGCTGCTGAGTGTGCGTCTTGACGTTGACGTGAGGAATCTCTCTATGGTAATGGAGGAGATGAAGCTGGTGGATACTAAGCATACACAGCAGATCCAGAATTTCACCATATTGAAAGGTAACCATTTCTTTCAGAGGTCTCCATCAGGGATTCTTATCTCCAGTCTTGGGGACCCTTTACCCTGCAAGGTTTTAAGCATTTCCTGCCCTAATACACATGATCCATCTCATGAATGGCTTGATAAATGGTCAAAGAGTTGGGTACTGGGGCAGGGAACACATGTATGCAGTTTGTCCCTAGGACTGGAGTTGGAAAACACTGGTCTACATCATATAATGTTGTCATCTAAACCTCAGTTTACCTGCATTCTGTACTCTTTTTACCTTGCAGGTGCTCCTGGTCCACCAGGTCCAAAGGGAAACAAAGGTGATTCAGGACCAATCGGGCCTGCTGGGCTTACAGGAATAAAGGGAGACAAGGGTCGTCCAGGTATCCTTGGGCCTGTCGGGCCAAAGGGTTTAATAGGACCCAAAGGAGCCCAAGGGGAACCTGGACCTTCCGGGGCCAGAGGAACCACAGGACCGAAAGGAGCCAAAGGGTCTTTAGGACAGCCGGGACCTCGTGGTGAAAAGGGACAGAAGGGTGACATGGGAGTTGCAGGGAAGGATGGATTACCAGGACCTAAAGGACCAACAGGAATTCAAGGACAGGCAGGGCTTCCTGGTGTACATGGGATTCCTGGACCTAGAGGAAAACCTGGTCCTGTTGGTCCACCTGGCCCACGTGGACCTCCTGGACCTACAGGGAACTACACTTGGGCATGAAAAAACTTTATACCTCTCTGTTCAAAATTGTAAAAGTTTCATGCAGCTGATGTCTCGTGAACTGCCCTGTTGAAAGCAGAACAATGTCACTGAATGTGGACAGCAGAAGTCAACTTTGAACTATGTGCCTTAAAAATGAACATTGTCAATCAAGGAACTTCATCTCACAGTGCTATGCATGAAACACATACCCTCTTGGTAGACAGGTACCCCACTTTATCTTCATTGTATATTCCTCAGGCTTTAAATTGAGCACATATACCCAACATCTTGCACTTTGTAGTAATGAGAGTGACTTTGCAACAATGGTGGTTGACTGTGCAGAAACTGCCATGGCACATTGTCTTAGTGTTTGCTTAAAGCTGCACTATGTGAGATTGTTTTGTTCAAATTAAAAGAAGTAGCAGCACTGAGTAAGGAGAAAAACAAACTAAAACATGCTGTGTGTGCACTGCTGCAAGTTGCCCTGTAAAGCCTGAAATAATAGATGTGTAGGATCAGACTTGGCAGGAGTTTTTCGGATCACGTCACACACCTTTATGTATTAACGTCACATGCACAGCTCAAAAATAAGGTCCAGCAGATGTTCACTCGTACACTTCAGTTACGTTCTTGGAAGGTATGTCCTTCACAAAGTTTTCTATGAATATTCATGAATGTTATGAATATAACACTCGCAAAGAAGGGAGGCACAAAGGACAACGGGTTCAAAGTAGTGGTCTGCACTCCCATGGATATCTTGTGGTGCGGGACAAATTTTCAGTGTTGCATGAAGGAGCAGGTGGGAAACCAGCCCACTGTAGGCGGGAGTGGGCCGAAGCAGCATGAAGACAAATCCCGCAAATTAATGAATATTCTAAATAAAGTAGAATGATCACTAAATCATATATATATAACAATACAAAATGACAACAGTAAAACAGTTAAAAATAAATAAAGTCATTCTAAAGAGTTGCTGCAGGAGCAGGACAAATCATTCCGATTTTCTGCGGGAGTGGGATGAAATCGGGGAGCGGATAAAAACAGTCCCGCGTAGACCTCTAGTCCAAAGCACAGCCGGCGTTATCAAATGTTCTTCAATACGTTGCGTGCAATCACACATTTTCACCAGAGAGGTCTCCAAATCCCCAAATCTTACATAGTGTAGTTTTAATCTGTTTGACAATTAATTATGATTAGGAGTCTTAAGAATGCCAAACGACAGGTGCCATGTGTTGTATCAGAATGACAGCCAATTTGTCATTTGTTTTCCATAAAGAATCACCTCACATATCATTACAACCAATTTGAAGGCACTTTAATGTTTCTATCTTTATTTTTTTGTATAAAGCCATTTAATTTACAACTAGATCTGTTTTATATATGCTCCACAGTCTATCCAGAGCAGGTACTCTGAAAAAGAAATTTTATTACTCCGAAATACTTCCAGCAATAGAGCTATTCTTGACAAAAGTGTACAGTATAGAACCACAGAAAGAAAAGCACATGTGAGATCTGTAGCTGTATGCTGTGAATATAGCAAGCCGACATGTACCTACCCTGCCAATCATTGGCTATATGTCAATGAATAATACAACATTGGTATGATATTGTTAATATACATGTTGTTGTGTTCATATGCCTGATTTGACAGTGTGCTAAACCATTGATCCTTTTTACAGCATTTATTTGAAAAAAACTCCAGTATTGTTCTCTTATTGTCTTGCGCAGATATGTAAATATTTTGTTAAAAGAACTGTAGCTAAACAAGGAAAGTTACACCATGTCGAAAGAAATACCACAATTCCAGGAAACCATTTCCAGCACCATAAAAAAAACAAACACACAAACCAAAAAAAACAATGGACTGAGCATTGACACATGGGTGACCTCTGTGCATATTAAAGTACACAGTGATACTGAACCAAGAAACTCAGTGTGTTGAACCGAATTGGAATTGAAATTGCCTGTCTTTTTGCGGCTAGCCAACTCATAACTCTCATCTAAAACACATTTCTGGATAAAGATAAAACCTAAAATGTAGCGTATTACACCACTCTATGTGATCATCTTTCAGTCTTCCTTTTATGTATTGGAGTTTTTTGGCATCGCCATAACCCAAACCTGCATTATCATGTCAAATTTGAACTGATAAATGACACAAACCACTTCTAAATGGCCTACATTTATCACTAGACACAGACTTAACTGCATCCAGTTTCCGGTGAGAACAAGTAAGGGCTTTCTATAATTGCAAAGTTTAATCTTATGAGTCTTTGGACTGCACGCAGCTTCAAGTATTTCCATCATCACCATACAGAAAAACAGTCAATCTCTATCAGTCATTAGAGTAGATGTGTAAGCAATGTATTTTAAAAACAGTAGTGCTCACTCACACTTGAGTCATGGACACTCTTCCATTCAATAAGAGCACATTTTTTCACTCTTCGTCATCCTTTTCAAGGTCCTAACAGGCCCAGCTTGGGTACCTATGTAAACACATTTGTGAATGGAGGAAACACATTTAAAGTTAAGAGAGCAAGCAGGAGACATTACGTTTGGTTTGTAGGCAGTTTATACTTTTCCATCCTTTTAAAAACCTTGTTATAAATCACCAATAAAATATAACAAGCCTGCTCTTTCTGTTTTTTTGACACTAACTTCTCATTTATCATCAATTATACTATGACTTAATGTATTCTAGAGAATACATGAAATACACACATGATTGTGTTCAATGCAATTTAGTAATATAGGGACAATTTAATCCCTTAAAAGCCAAAGCTTATTATTCAGTAGCTACAGGGACTTCAATGCAAATTGGCTGAGCTATTCTTATATAAGTTATAGAAGTCTGGCCAATTAAGGGGTCAACAATATGTGATTACATTCTGCTATTCTGCTAATCAGTTTAGGTACATCAGCTTCACAAAGTAAAGTGATATACTGTAAACTGTGAAGCTACTACGAAGCCCTGCCCTTTCAGAGGTCATTGTAGCAAAAGCTATGGAAGTTGCTCTGGAAGTCTGTGATGTGAAATTGCTCATTTCACTGACAAAAAGAAAGATGTCGAAAGATGGGCTTTAACTTTTATCTGACCATCAAAATATGACCATGGTAGAGCTAGCTTGTGCTATGGTGCCCAAGCTAGCCAGCCAGTTTAGTCTTAGCCTCTTCACCACCTGTAAATACTTGCTTAACATCCAAAATTTTAAACATTATATAAGAGTTTACATTTAAATAAAATAGCAATTGGACATAGATGTCAAATGTGACAATAAAGGCAGATTTCTGTGCTTATTACAAGTCATGAACATTTCCAATTGCAACGTGACAGACCCAGTCAGATGCTCATGGTAAAAAAAAAAATGAGGCTTAAATTGAAAAAGGGTTGACAAATCGTAGTCGGCGAATATGTGTGGGTCAAGTCCAATAGGGCAAAAAGAAAAAAGAGCACAAACATAACCGAGGCAACCAAAACCAAAAAGGGCAAAGGCAAAAAGGCAAAGTCACTAAATCCAGAATCAGAGTCCAATACATGAAATGGCAAACAATAACACAGAGGAAATGCTCAGTAGCTCTATAAAGAAAAGCAATACCTCACAACTAGGCTAAGCTAAAGCCTGGGTTTTTGAACTAAACTAAACAGGTCATATGACATAGAAGACAGGTGCGCCGTATCAGTACTCTGGTGATTGTGAACAGTGATAGAAGGATTGAGGATGTTTATGAATCACGTTATCTCTAAAAGGATTCTGGGAAATGGAGTTTGAGTGTGAGTCAGAGCTGGAAGGCTGCGTGACACCAATAGAGAGCCTACAGAGCTGCTAACAACAATATGTACATGATGAATTCAATGTTACAGGAATAAACATATTCTAATGTTTTTTCAACTTCTAATCAATATGACACATGAATTACCAATCTATGTGAATTACTGACCTTTACAGAAAGAAAACGGGAGAATTTTCAGTTAGCAGGCTGCTTTTTTTCCATTTTGCTCAAGATGGCAAAAGCAAGCCTTTTTTCAGCCCACAGAGATCTGCTCAGTGCTCAGAAAGTGACAAATCTCACATATTTTGGTGTCACATAACCAAAGAAGCATAAGCACAGTATTGAGTAAAAGTTCAGTGAAAGCAGAATATCTTTCTGTTGATAAAGTAAATGAAACTAATTGGGATCTAAAACCGCTTCATAGCTTTATAAGAAAAGTCCTTTGGTCCTTTCTGTTCTTAATGTAAATTAAAGTATGTGTGGCTTAAGGCACACGGTACAGCAGATTTTATAATGCTTTCATAACGAGCACATGAAAGGATTCAGCATTTGAAATTTGACGAGGCGAGTCTGATGTGTCCGTGCGTAGCTGCCTAAAGATGTGTGAAAGGGCCTGGACTTTTCTTTCATGTATTGGTAGCACAGATGGCGTGCAAATCCCCAGAGACATTTGATCCCCAAAGCTTTTTAAACTATTAACACATGGAACAGTAAATCAGCTTCAGTGAGAGAGAAACACAGTATGATGCGTCGTTGCATGTGGGCCATTAGAGAAGAATTATCATGCACCAGCATGCAGCCGATGCTAAATGCTGACTGATACACATCTCAGTAGCCTCGGCCTTTCGTTACTGCTACTTGGGCTAGCACAGGGTCAGCACAGATGGGACAGTTATTTCATTTTATACATGTACTATTGGGCCAGTAGGGGAGAAGGTGTCACAACCTAATACATTTATTTTTGATTTATTATATTATCTTTTTAACATTTCTAAGTAACCTACAAATCTCTGCTACAAAGGACAACATAAACTTTGTTTTGAGTACAAACCCATTTTTATACAGTGTGGGCAAAAGTGACCCAAGGGCAAAAGCTAAAACTTACCCTGTAGGTTGGGTTAACTGTAACAGATTAGTTCTAACCTTCACTAGAAATGTCTGCTAAGTTGATTTTAATACAGTTCATTCAATATAGTCCTATGTTGTTTGAACCAGATTAGCTATCCAACCTAAGTAAATACAAATATCTGCATCAAAATAAATATAATAAGTGAAAAGAAGCTTTGTCAAACACTGGCAAATGTATGTTTGCCTGTAAGTAGAACAGCAAATATCACCATGACAAAGACTGAAATATATTTTATTTACATTCATAGTATGTTTATGATGTATCTGTGAACAAAGGGAAAAAAAGGTGTTTTGAATTTATATGAGTAGATATGGATTTCTCTCAGTGTTTACTTTTGGGGTCTTAGTTGTACACTCTTACAAAAAAAGGTAGTAAACTGTCACTGTGGCGGTACCCCTCTTGTCACTGTGGTGGTACCCTCACGGGTACATCTCAGTACCTTTAGTCAGGGAACATAATTGTACCATAATCCACTAAAATTATATTTTCTAAGTTGTATTGACTCCACACACCCCGTCTCGTCTCCGGACTTTTTGTTATATTGTTCTGTTTTCAAACATCATTTCATAAAAAGGTTCAAATATGTACTTTTAGCCTTGGAAAAACTTATTTAAGGTACACAACTGGACCTTAAAACCATTGTTGTACCTTTGAGGGTACATTTACATTGTTTGTAACATGAGCAAAAAATGTATCTGCACACAACCTTTATTTCTAACCGTGCTTTTTCCGTCGGCCATCCGTCCAGTAAGGTTCCAGTTTTATGTTATTTGGTGCATAAGATGTAATGTTGCTTGAGAATGTTCTCCTTTGTTTTTTGCAGCCGAAGCCAATAACAATGTAGCAAATTTGTCACGCTACAAGTTAAGGATAAATTCACAAAGCACTATTACACAGTAATTGCACCAATGTAAACTAGAATGGTGTGTTGATATGCTGATTGCTGTTTTTAAAATTATTATTCAATAAAGAGTTTGGAAGGAAGATGCTAATAATATTAGCATTCCTACTAGCCACCACAGAGTGTTTTTTTCATACTGGTTATTGAAAAAAATATTAACTTTGCTTCATTCTGTATAAGATTCTTCGTAAAGGGCAGAAAATCACATTATTTTATTATTTAATATCAGCACAACTAGTGTTTGCCATATAGTAAGAAAACAGCTTTACACTTTCAAGAGAAAGGAAATTGAAACTTGATCCTAGACATGAGATTAACTGCTTGACTCCACATATGTAACCGGGTAATGTCGACAATTTCGTGAGGGTGTGCGCACAGAAAATGTCAATTCATATCAGCAAATTAGTTAAGCTAACTATAACTTGCAAGTACAGTACCTAATTAAATGTTTAGGAGTATAAAGTGACCAAAAATACAATTAAATACTCATTACAAACATGAGTTCTTTTGGTTCCCATTTGGGTCTACTCTTGTTTTTGAAAGTGCAGTGGATAAATGCCCACTAAGAATACCTTTATTATAGTGATGGATTAAAATATTTGTCCAGCATCACTTGTTGTGACTTAAAGGAGCTTTGGCGTGCTTGTCTGAGTGTGGTAATGTGAGTGCTGAGTGCTGTTGGCTGGGAAAACAGCTTGTGGATTGTTTTGGCCATTTATGAGCTCATGGCTGGTGCTCTCTCTCGCCCTCTCCAGAAGAAAAAAATGCCTCCAGCTGGCAGACAGGCCTGAGGGTCCAGGCCACAGAGGACCATGTCATGGCCTTGACTCACAGCAGCGCCCCCCCACCCTCAGAGTCGGTTCATGACGCTCTATGAAAGCTTCCTCTAGCCAAGCAAAATATCACAACTTGAGGGACAGGCCAACATCAGTCACAGAGTCAAATAAGCACAAGAACAGTTACATAACGTTTAAAGGTCTTATAGCTCTATATATGTGGATTTCCCATGACCTATTTTGTGCTGGTCTAATCTGCTACATGGAACTTTGTTGAGATGGAAAGTAATAAAGACAGAACTTCAAAGCAGAGCTTGATTTTTCAAGCACACGCAGTCTCAATAGTTGACATACTGTTTATTAGCCTAATAATGGATTTCATAATAGAAAACTACAAGCCAAATGAAACAGTGATTTTGGTTTATGGATTGTTTTAGTCTTTAGAGATCTCTGCTGGAGATCTTTTCAAATGATGCATACTGACTTCTTCATACTTGTTGCATCTGGAGCCACTGTCAGCACCGGGGTTGGTCGGCACAGTTTCACTCTCATATATTTCATGAAATTAGTGCATTTGTGACTAAATTCACAGCAAACACACGATTAACTGGCACATCTTATGGGTATGTTTGGCACAATATTAAAAAGGTATAGTTTTAAATAGTTTAAAAAAAATAAAACAACAAATAGGAACAATCTGAGTTTTTATTTTAAACCAAACCACAAACTTTCAATGTTCAACCACGTAACATTTTTTAATCAAGTAAACATTATAAGTGTTTCGCTTATTTGATCATTGGCTTGTGTTAAAGTGTTCTTCTGTTATTAGCTTATTTTTTAATTTAGTGAGTTAAACATTGTCTTATTAAAAAAAGTTCAAATAAAATTAGCTCTTTTTAATAAAAAAAAAAAAACATATGTAATGCATAACTAGTTTTGGGTCCATGTTAATGAATATCTTCAGACAGACTGATAGATGGATTGTGACGTTCAGAGTTCTGGTCAATGCCCTGCGATGGACTGGTGACCTGTCCAGAGTGTATCCTGCCTTCTGCCCAATGACAGCTGGAATAGGCCCCCCCACGACCCAGAAGGATAAGCGATTTAGATGATGAGTGTGTGTGTGTGTGAATTCTGGTCAAAATGTATGATTGTTGGTCAAGAGGGCAGCCATTTTTATGTTAAATTTTATGAGAGTTGTTTTGCTGATCCAGAAATGAATACGGTGCCAACCAATCCCGTTCTCCTCTACAAAGTGTCTGTGCAGGACATTAAGAGGTTTTGGTATGATACACTCTAAAAAAAAAAAGTTCCTAGACTCTTAAAAAAAAGATGGTTCTTCAGGGGTTCTTTAGTAAAGATAATAGTTCTAAATAGAACCATGAATACTCAAAGAACCGTTGCATGCTTAAAGGGTTCTCAGTGTCGTAAAATGGTTCTTCAGATTGATGGACCACCAAAAATGTTCTTTTATTGTTAAGATGTCAAGCTTTTAACAATAGAAGAGCCCTTTTTGGTGCTATATAGAACCATTTTCAAAAAGGTTCTACATAGAACCATATACAACACATTCTCCATCCATCTGAAGAACCACTTTATGATGCAAAGAACCCCTTAAGCATGCAAATGGTTTTTGAGTCTTCATAGTTCTATATAGAACCACTGTCTTTATGAAAGAAACTTTGAAGAACCATCGTTTTACGAGTGCAGATTGTTCTTGGCTTGTTCATACATTTCTAGGAGAAAACTTTAATTGGTATAGAAGCTTCGCATTGTGTGGAGGTTCTTC